CAGCGCAACGCCGCGTTGACACCGACTTCACTCAGCGTACTACCAAAGCCTATCGTGGTGGTAGTACACATAAATGGGCAACCTGCACGCGCCCTGATCGACACTGGATCACTAGCGGATTTCATGTCGCTGACGTTAGCCGAGCAATTGAGAGTGCCGTTGAGTCAACTCACCAAACCATTGACCATTCAGCTGGCAGTCCAAGGGTCGTGTTCGAAGGTTAACTACGGCGCGAAGGCCAGGCTGCTACCAGGGGATCGACAGCGAACAATATTTCGATGTGATCAACCTGCAAAACTATGACTTGATATTAGGCACACATGTTCCTATTTCAACATAAGGTAACGGTGGGATTCAACTCACCTCAAGTGATTGTGGGCAGCAACGTGCCCATGCCCATGAAGGGCGACGAGGTCTCGGTATTAGAGTCCAGGGCCGCGGAGGTGTATGCTGAAGAGCTCGACAAAGTTCGAGAGCATCTGAAAACGTTAGCCAAGCCGCTTTGTGTGAAGGCTTCTGAGACAGGCTTACCTCCTCTGCGCACCATTAATCACTCGATCCCGCTGATAGACAAGAATAAAAATATACCACTGGAGGCCGTCTCGCTGTCCAGAAGCTATGAGACCACAGTGGTCAGAAAAGAGAGCTGCTTACCTCAAGTCCGGACGTTGGCAGGTCATGAGCGCCGGTAACACGGTGCCGATGCTGTTCCTGAAGAAGCCCGGGTCAGACAGGCTGCGCACGGTGTTTGATCTCCGGGAACAGAACAACAACACCAAGAAGTTGTTGTCACCGTTGCCCGATATGGAGGGGATCTTGCGCCGAGTATCGTGAAAGAAGTACAAGTCCTTGATAGATGGTCAGGACACGTACAAACAAATAAGAATAATACCAGAACACATACCTCATTCTGCTGTGACCACGCTGGATGGGAACATGGTAAGCCACGTCGTCCAGCAGGGCGACTGCAATGCGCTGGCAATGTATCAGGCGCTGATGAATCACCTTTTCGGCGAGTACATCGGCCGGTTCATGGACATCTACCTTGACGACATCATCGTGTACTCAGACACCCTGGAAGAACACGTTGAGCACATCAAGAAGATCCTGGCTATCTTAGAGCAAGAGAAACTTTACCTAAGTGAGAATAAGATCCTTGGTCATGTCGTTGGGAAGGAAGGAATCCGCATGGATCCTGCAAAGGTGGACAAAATCTTGTCCTGGAAGGTACCTACGAACCGAACGCTCTGTAAGGGGTTTATTGGGTCAGTGGGGTACCTGGCGGACGACATCCACAAGGTGCGCTTACCTTTGGGTGTCCTGTCCGAAGCGTCCGCGGACACTGTCCCATTCAGATGGACGGACACGGAACAACGCGCTTTCGATGAAGTGAAGCGTTATGTGTCAGCATGTGCGTCACATAGTAGGATGCCATTAGACTACTCACCGGGACATCCCCGAATTTGGATGATGACGGATGCCAGTGCGACGGGCATTGGCGGGGTGGTCGCACAAGGCGACGACTGGCGTACAGCGAGAGTGGCGGCGTTCTACTCTGCGAAGATGTCTTCGGCCCAGCGGAATTACCCTGTTCATGAACAGGAGTTGTTGGCTGGGGTGGAGACTATGGTTAGACATAGGGACATCCTACAGGGCATGAAGTTTACCTGGTTGATGGACCATAAGAGCCTGACTCACTTCATGCGACAGAAGAACCTGTCCGGGTGGCAGGCGCGTTGGCAGGAGACGACGGGAGAGTTTGACTTTGATATTGAGTACCTGCCCGGCGAGGAGAACATCCTGCCGGATGCGCTGTCGCGAATGTATGAGTTTGATGAGCCTGGCACAGTGAGGGCCCCCAGTGAGTATGTGGTACTGGAAGGGGAAGTCATCTCACCGCCAGTTGCCAGCTTGGTCACCATGCTGGTGACTGTAGGGTTGGAGACCACTGCCCAGACGCCCAGAAGAAGTGCGCACATGGCTGCCAAGCGCGAGCCAACCCATGGACAGGATACTGTGAGCCCATCCGTCAGCCGTGGATTGGTTCAGGGAGAGACACCCACCAGATCTCCTGAGGGCCAGGTTGCCAGTGGAGCGGACAACCGCGAAATGGCTCTTGGAATGTTATCGACCAGATCTCCCATAAACCGCGAAATGGGTCATGGAATGCCTCTGGCAGACCGGAGCAACCACGAACCGGGTCAGGGAAGGTCATTGACCAGATCTTCCACGGACCGGGGCAACCACGAACCGGCTCTTGGAATGTCATTGACCAGATTTTCCATGAACTGGAGCAACCGCGAACCGGCTCATGGATCTGCCGTTAGTGATCCTGTTCTTGCAGAGAAAGGGATGGACACACCTGCACCTAAGAGGAAGGGCCGGAGGGTCGTCGAACCAGCGGAGACTGGGCGCCTGGAGACATCTGCAGAGTTTGCATGGCGGGTGAGGGATCGTTTCATCCTGAAGGGCCCAGTCAAACAAAAGGAGGGGGGGGGGAGCTCCTGAAAGAGCATAACCACCCAGAGACCGGCCAGATGGAGGAACCCCAGAGGATCCGGACCAGCGAAGAGCTGGAAAACCTGCAAGAAGGGTTAACCGAGCCAGAGTACCAGCCAGCAAAGGTACCTATCACGTACCCTGAAAAGGAGGCGGTATTGTCTGAAATTAAGGGAAGATATGAGGAAGATCCCTTTTTCAAAATGATACTAGACGCACCTGAGTCCTATAAGAACTTCGAGCTCAGGGAGGGATACCTGAGGCTGAGACTACAAGATAGGGAGCTGCTATGCATCCCGGACATAATGGTTGGAGAGCGGAAGCTGCGCGAAACGCTGATAGATCAAGCGCACTCATTGTTAGCTCATCTAGGCGCGAGGAAGACAATGTCGTACCTCCGAGAGTACGTGTGGTGGAAGATGCTGGTACCGGACGTACAGGCGTTTTGCGCCTCATGCCAAACCTGTCAAAAGAGTAAGCCCTCTAACCAGAAGCCATATGGGTTGCTGCACTCACCCAAGATTCCATCTAAACTGTGGGATGCCATAGGCGTGGATTTTGTCGGTCCACTACCACTATCTAAGAATAGAGATGGCAAATTTGATAGCATCACCGTGATAATTGATCTGTTCACTGGGATGGTGCACTTGGTGCTGAGCCGGACGAACTACAATGCAAAGGAAGTGACTGAGCTGATGTTCACGGAAGTGTACAAACACCATGGCTTACCAAAGTCCATCATAAGCGACCGGGATGTCCTGTTTACGAGCAGATTCTGGATGTGGCTAAATCAGCTGATAGGAATTAAGCAGAAAATGTCAAGTGTGTACCATCTGGAGACGGACGGTTCGACAGAACGCGCGAACCGCATGATAGGACAAATGATACGAAGCACGATATCCCCCAGTCAAACGGACTGGGTGGGGCGCTTGCCTGCAATAGAATTTGCCATTAACCTGGCGCACAATGACACCACGACTTACCCGCCATTCTTTGTCAACTCGGGCCGAATGCCTCACTCCTTCATTTGGGAGACGCCTGAAACAACGGAGTATCCGGGAGTTAGAGTGTATGCCCAGAAGCTGAAGACCACCGTGCTCACCACGCACGACGCCATCCTAGCGGCTCGCGTCAAACAGACAAGGGAGGCGAATAAACACCGGCGAGCGTGCCCGTTTGTGGTGGGCAACTTAGTCTATGTATCGTCTAAGAACATTAGCTTCCCCAAGGGACGGGTAAGAAAATTCATACCTAAATATATTGGGCCATACCAGATAATGCTGGACTTCAAGAACAACTCATACAAGTTGGACTTGCCGGATAGGTTGAAACAACGAGGAGTGCACCCCATGTTTCATGCATTGTACTTACGAATCCACATGCCCAACAATGACCACAAGTTCCCAGGAAGACTCGAGATGCAAGTTGCCGATTTCGACGATCATGTTGATCGAGAATGGGCCGTGGACAAGGTACTATCGCACCGAGGTACCAGAATGGACGCTGACTTCGAAATACTTTGGAAGTCCGGAGATAGGACCTGGCTGCCATACAGCCAAGTAGAACATCTTGACGCCCTGAAGGACTATTTTACCCTGGTCAGCGTCGAGACGATCGGTGAGCTGGCGGATGGCGATGGGGAGGTACCGACTGACGCTCCCCAGGTGTTTCTAGGACACCTATGTCTCACTCCCTTCCCTACAAATACCCCACCGTTCCTTCATCCTTCAACATCTCCACCACTTGACCTTCGTTGCACCATGCACAACCCCGCATTTCGCAACTTTGTCCCTGTGGGGCCAGGGTCCTACACGTTCTCGGACATGCATGTCCCTCTGTGCCAATATACCATCACACACGACCAAGTTAAGTCCTTCGTCTTGTATGACACACTGTTGCACTCTGGCGAGGACAGCAGCCAACACTCTATTCCCCTTGGTTACGACGAATTCGCGTTCATTTTCAACTTCAACAAGCCTGAGATCCTCGTTAAGTTCACCACCACTGCCGCAGACAGTTCCATTAAGGTCAACGGACCTACTGTGACTGCCTCGTTCCTCATCGGCGACGACGAGGAACCTGTCGCTGCTCTTAATCCTGACCAGCCTGCCCAGCCAGTCGTTGAGGCCACCCGTGATCCTGACGGAGGCTGCTGGTTGGACAAACGCAAGGCAGAGCTGATCGACGATACCCTTTGGGACACCCTTGAGCGTTCCCACCACCAGAACTCCTGCCATGACGAAGCCATAAAGGCTCGTAAGGACAAGAGGAGGAGGCTCGAAGGTCCCCCTCCCCCTGTCGCACCTGCACCTAACATTCCCCGTCCCCCTACCACTACTCGTGATGCTGGTGCTGGTAGCTCTAGCCGAGCTATCGCCCAGCCGACCATTTGGGATGATGACGTGCACATGGAAGGTGCGGAAGGCATGAACCATCGCGAAGGGGTCGAAGGACCCACCATTACTGAAAAGAAGGGCAAAGGATGCAAGAAGTGAGGGGTTTGACAACCCCTGAAGGGGGGTATGTGGCGTCTACACATCCACTCAGCTTGACCCCCAACCATACCATGTGATTATCACCTCAGGCATTACTTTTCGGAACCAATAATGGTCTTTCAGACTCGGTTTCTATGTTGTGGGAAAGTAGTCTGTTAGACCCACCCTCCCGCCATCTATTAATAACACATCCTCCTAGCGTGCACCGCGCACCTCCAGGAAACCCTCGCGCACCTCCAGAAAACCCTCCAGATCCTCCAGAGAACCTCTCGTACCCCTCCATAAAACCCTCCAGCCTCTCCTGTGGCTCCAATGCAACGAGCTTGGGAGCCTTGCTCCTCCCCGTTTCACACTGTAAGTTCTTCTCTTCTTTCCCTCACCATGTCTTCCTCGACACCTCGTCGCACTTGCAAAGCTCAACTTGCATCGTTTGGCCTAGGCTCTCACTTTGAAAAAAGATGATGACGCGCAAATGAAGATGTGTGTCCAGAGAATGCGTTTGGCTCGTTTAGTAAGCATTTGTTTGAGCCAGCTGGTTGTTTGCAGGCTCACGTCTGGCTCAAACAGCAGTCTATTAATAATACATCCTCCTAGCATGCACTGCACACCTCCAGAAAACCCTCGTGTGCCTCCAGAAAACCCTCACATGCATCCAGAAAACCCTTGCGTGCCTCCAGAAAACCCTCCCTATCCTCCATAAAACCTCTCGTACCCCTCCATAAAACCCTCCAGCCTCTCCTGTGGCTCCAATGTGCCGAGCTTGGGAGCCTTGCTCCTCCCTGTTTCACACTGTAAGTTCTTCTCTTTCCCCCACCATGTCTTCCTCGACGCCTCGTCGCACTCGCAAAGCTCAACTTGCATCTTCTGGCCTAGGCTCTCACTTTGTAAGCCCAAGGAAAGCTTGAGACAAATGAAAAACCCAAACATATGTTGAGCTGCCTGGCGCAGAGACGAAGCGCCGCCGACTTTTAGATGCAATGGAGCAACTTATGAAGTCGCAACATGAGGAACCACACCTGCAGTTATCTGTTCAAGCTGCACCACCCGATACTGTGACTACGGAACACATGGATGCTGACAATCTTGTTGAATTCCACTCCGAAGATGTGGATGAACAACCATCTCTGGAGATCTCAGTAACATCTGTCAAACGGTGGATCCTACCAGACCAACCCACTAATTCACTGTATAAAAACTGGATTGCACTCATACCAACCCTTGTTGATCCGGTACTCCAGTACTTTGGACAAACGCAGGGCAAAGCACTGGAAAATATACATCCAGTCATATCTGCATGCGGGGAGCCTTCGTGTACACCGAAACGGACAACAATGATGTGTTTATGATCGTCAGCCCATATCTTGCAGTGTTCAATTTTTTGCTGACATTTATTTAGGCTTTACATCTATAGATGTACTAAGTTGTACCTGCTCAACTCTCCAGCAGGTCCTCGTCCACCATGGTCTATTCCCAACCGCGCCTTCACAGCCTCGGATGGCTGTGTCTGTTGACTTGCTTTCATTCTACCGCGCGTTGTTTGAGCGCTCATGTGACGCGATTAACGCACTCACATCAGTGCTCAAAAATCACTATTCCCGGCGGGGTTACCAGATGACTGATGCCCAGGTAACAATCAGTTACATACTTATATCACTACTGATTCATTAGTGTTTCAGGGTGAAGTTATACAGGACCCCTTCCGCCGAGGCCTCGGCTATGCCGTCCAATGGTATGACATCCTGCAAGTTGAAGTTGAGCGCCAAGTTGAGATGGTCGTTCAACAACATTGTGATCATATAGCGAAGTTTCAAGTGTCCTCTCGAGTCCCAAATTCGCCTTTGCTCACTCAATGCGCACCCCTTCTAGTGCAACGGTGTCCTGCTTGCTTTGCAGGTATACTCCATGGTAGATCCACAGATGAAGGAGGTGACATCCACGTTGCAATGGACGGTAATTTCCATCACCGTCATTGACGTGCTGCTGGAGACTGTCCAAATTTCTATGACCCTACCTATTTTCTCCCCAAAAGCTTTGTTGACGCAATTGGGCACCATATCGACACTCAACGTAAGCGACCCGTGAAGTCTCACGTGCCCCTCATCCCCAACAAAGCCGTTGACCAATGCGAGAATGCTTACGAGGCTGCTGATGGCAAAAAACAGAAAGCCGCTATGGATAGCTTTGATGACACTGCAATCATGGCCCTTATCTGTCGTCATGACATCCCATTATTTTTTGCCAATATAGACTCACCTGGAGAACAGCAGAAGTATTCAGTAGCTTTACTTCACCACTTCTTTTCATTTCTTCCACCTGAAGCTACTGTCGTAGCCCTTTACGATATCGGCTGTGTTTTGGCACAAACACTCTCCAAGGTACATTATGATCCTGGCTGGAACTACTTGCTTACACTATTTACAGTATGACATTCTTCCCATAAGTATCACCTCACACCTTCGATTTGCAACCACTGCAATGCACACATATGGGCACGAGTGGGCTTGCCAGCTCGTATATAATCCACGAATATGTGTGGGTCTTGGCTTATCTGATGGCGAAGGGACCGAACGCCTTTGGTCTCACTTAGTTCGATTGATAGGTGTTGAGCACACTTCTAGTGTATGTACTCTATTATTTTCATTATGAACTAATTCATTTAAAACACTGCTTAGCGCCAATGCCGTTTATGGCTAATCGATCGGCAAGCAGTGGCTATAGCTTCAGAGATGTGAATTGACCTTGGCGACTGGATCAAACGACGCCTCAGACGGGGCATCAAGGAGCAAGGTTCGGCAGCCCAAGACGTGCTAGATCGATGTGGGGTCCCCATTGAAGAATTGCAGTCTGAGTGGTTGCAGCAAAGGCATTCTCAGTTATCTATCCATGCTCGTAGGTTTTATACATTTTTAATGGCGTAACTATTACTCAATGATATTGCAAGATGCACCCACCCGCCTCAAGAAGGAGTTGAACACTGTCCTAGCTCTCCAGGCAGATCTGGACACCTCAGACAAAGCATTGCAAACCGCCAGGACGATGTTGGAGAAAGATATGGCTTCAGATGATACTCTAGAGGCTCTCGAAAGTCTAGAGAGGGGACACGATTGCCTGATGAACAAGGTCGAGGCTCTTTACTCTTCATTGAACGTTCATGACAGGTTCCCTGAGCTTCATGGCATCAATCTCAAATTTGTTCGCATCCTTCTAATGGCACGCGATCTCAAAATGAATGTTCGTAAACGTGTGATTGTAAGTTTCTTTGAGTGGGATAAACTTGATCAAGCAGTAGGTGGCGTCCAGCAAGCGTTAGGTAAGTTCGTGCTCTTTTGTTAGTCAATGATTTATCAGATTCTTTCAGGCACCAAGCTGCATCAACAGACACGTAAAGCAATTTCAAAGCGTCAGCCTGCACTAATGACCGCTATCAGGAGATTCAACTCCTACTGCGAGCGGCTCGATTCATTGTATGATACATCCTGGGGGATTCCACTGCCCGCACCCCTTCCCACCAAACTTGTGGAACTACGTTCCGACCCAGGACTGATGGAGGATGTATGGATTACGCCATCTCTTGGAGAGGTTCCGCGATGGTTAGATGACACATCCATAAGAGACGGTATTCGTGCACTGCTCAAGCATGACCAGTGTCGAGAGGAGCAGGTTCAGCTGGGCATTGAGGCCGATAACCTGTGCCGCTTCTTTGGAAATGAGTTGGCAGCGCTTGAACTTGCCCTTCGGTCGCCGAAGAGTGAGTTAATTTTCTTCTCAACTTCCATTTCTCACCCATCCTTAGGTGAGCCTTTCGCAGTTCCATTGCAGCAACGGCATGCCAATTTTATCCGCCTTCAAACATGATGGTCAAATTGCTTAGCTTCTTCAGTATGGTTCACTAACGAAGTCAGCAAGACAGTGGCCATTGTGACCACCCTCTCGGGAGGCTCACCAAACATGATGTTTCACTGGATTAATGCCAGCACGCTGGTAGTGCCTGATTCTGAGGGTAGTGATGAACTCCCTATCGTTGATCCTGACCATTGCCCCCAAGTCGATTCTGAACAAGCAGCACTTGCCGATGTCCTGGAGGGTGAGATGGGGGCATTGGAGTTAGATGACGATGACTCAACAAATTATGGGCGCGAAGTTAATGCCGTGATTTGCTGGAACCTTCCTGATGTACGTTTATCTTTATTGTTAGGAATTGACGCTGACATGTCATAGAATCTCCTTGTGGATGACTTCTGTGTCCCATCGCAAGAGCCAGACGTCCTTGACCCTGCTAAAAATTTTGCATGAATACGACCTTCGCACGATGGAATCCCTCGTCTACTTTTTGAGCCGAAAGACATTGGTATACTCAGTTCTCCTACTGCACGCCTCAATGATATATGTATCAACAATTGCGCCATTCTCCTGTGGTGCTCTCAGCTCAATACTTCCGCTACACGGTGCGCGATGCTCTCTACTCATGATCTTCCCCACATTCGTTATAATGCCCCAGATGATATCATCTGGCGCCACACATCGTGGATTCGTTATTGGGAAAAAGACATCTGGGTACTTCCAATTCATTGTCCGTCAGGCATTGGACACTGGGTGATGTGCATCATCCAGTTGTCGACCAAAGAACTTTACCTTTTTGATAGCATGGGTGATAGGACGCCTTGGCAAAGTGACAGTCAAAGTGAGTTTAATTTTAAAGTGTCCTTTTCATCTGATTGATTGGCACCTGATATGAAAGCATATAATAAGACTGATTGCTCGGTTCATTGCAATTGCGCGTCAACACGGCCATCATGTTCATATTGATCTCGAAGGGTGGGTGGCTCGACCATTGAATGTGAGTTGCATACTTGGCTTTCTTAACTAGTCTGACATTATGTATTATCTAGATCAAACGTCTTCAGAATAATGACTTTGATTGTGGCCTATGGGTATTGGCTGCAATATTCGCCATTGTACGTGGCAGCCATATAACAGGCCTACATGAGCGGGACATGGACAATCTGCGACGCTATATGCGGACTATGGTTCTTGCATTACCAGCTCTCTCGAGTTACAGTATTACAAAGTCTACATATATGGATTATTCCCAGTAATCAGTATATCGTCCTCCCTCTGATAATTCAATATCCTTCGCGCTACCCATTGGCGATAGCATTCGGCCATGACCTTGTGTCTTGTGCATGCCTGCAAGTTGCTGACACGAGCATGAAGCTCATCCCAACCTGTAACTAACCGCTGACGCACTTCTCGGATCTCCTTCAGAACCTTGGAGATTTCACCCATGCTATACATGGCTGTACGGTGGGTATGTGATTCCCTTTCTGCGTGCAAGTGATGGCTATGCATCACATCCAAGAGATTTTGCGTGAAACGGTCTTCCTCTGGTGAGTCAGGTGGAGCTGGAGAGTCGTAAGGAGGGGCTTTATCCCACTGCAAGAGATCGGATTGATCAATCAAGTTAGATCCAGCGAGAGATTGATGAAACAGATAGGAATTGGGAAGGGAGAAGGTTGAGCATCAGATTAGTGAAGACGTTCGAGGATCATGCAGATCCTCAGATATGTTATGAGGCCCACATCGACCATGACGTTTGGCATATGCATGAGCATTCTGAGCTTGGCGAACAATTTTACCTCTGCAAAACATATGATTAACAAAAACAAATGATTGCAAAATACTGACTGTTCTGACCGAGCATATAATGCTTTGTGTCGCCGTGCAGCTGCCGATTTCTCTTCAAATGTGAAGTACTTAGCTTTGGGACCCATAGAGACCAGGCAAGTGGGCAAATGGTCAAAACTGTGTGAAGACCAAACTTGATCTTAAGTTCATATTGCAATGTTATCCTGTTACCCGTCAGAACGCAATACAGCCATCAAACATGAAGTTCTGGCCTTTATTTTTGTATTAGCATGATCGGGCATACCGTGGAAGTCGACGACACCAGTCCAGGCAGCTTGGCTGGCAGTCAATCCCTGTCCATTTGTCTTTTAAATTCAGTGTGATTTGTATTTTCAATTTCATTGGCTCACCAATCACTCCCGGTGACTCGGAGAAAGTCCTCTGAGCTATACTAGTTAGCATATTTCATATTATGTAAAAAGTTGTCACAGTACGACAAACATCGTAACGGCATGAAAGTTCAACCAAACCAAATAGACCAATGCTGCTCTACCATCCTCACTATATCATCCCGCGATTTTTGCATCTGCTGCAACCTTTTGTGCATGTAGTTCCACCCTACTCGCTTAGTAGCTGCCTTTGGTGTGCCGGGTGGCGAACGGTGTCGAAAGGTGGAGCTCCAATGTGTCCTCTTTAGTCATGTTGCTTCATGCAGACATTTTCTGTCTGATCAAAACCTCGTTTCCGCAGTGAATCCCATTACCACCCCACAGGAGCCTCAAAAAGGCCTCCCAATAGCCTCAAGAAGGCCTCCCAGTAGCCTCTATGAGCCCAGGTGAAACACTTAACCCTCTTGGGCCAACTAACCCGCGCTCATTTACCACTTTTGGTAAGTCATAGCTTTTTGGCGCTATTGAAGGAGGCTTCTCTGAACTTAGCAGAATTCCAAAATTTCCATGGCCTGTTTTTCACGTTATCGATCAACTGTATCTACTATTGCACCTTGCCTGTATCCTGCTGCAGAATGACCGCAATCATATCCAAGTCCTTGCACTTTGTTGACGTTGCCACACAGACAGATGCGCACTCCTTTACTATCACTCACCTCGTAAGTCCTTAGTCAGTTTCATATGTGGATTCTACTGATCGCTTCTAGCTTGTGGACGCGGCTGTGATAACAGAGGACCCAGGAGTTAGTAGTCTCCAAGTCGATGCCGGATGGAAGACCCTCGATGGCATTCCTTGTATCATGGGTGGCCTAACGGCTCTTGTTGGTAAGGTTTGTTGCATCCTTTTTTTCACTGATCTTGACTTTATTTCAGCATCTGTCGGGGGCACCCTGCGTGGGCGTACCCAAAATGATTTCCCTTGGAAAACCCTGCCCAAGGAGCTAGCTTGGCTCGGATGTTGCCTCGTCAACTACCCTAACGAGACTTTGATGCCTGGCGAGACTCGACCTACACTCTCTCGGAGCAAAGGCGTCCATGATCTGACCCTTCCTCATCGTATCAATCTTGTCAATGCGCTCAAGATGGGCACCCTCACCATTCGAGCCGTGACACATGATGCTGCTCGCACACGCCTTACAATGTCTACAGACCCAGTTATTATTGGAGAAGCACCCTCACATCGATCGATCTACTCCCGCGGGCGACGTGTGTTCGCTAATGGTGACATTGACTGCAAGGGGCCTCGCCGTCTTGCCTCTCCCCCTTCTACACCTCCCACTTCTACACCTCCCACTCGTCCTTCTACACCTCCTGCTCGTCCTTCTACACCTCCCACTCGTCCTTCTACACGTGCTACTCGTCCTTCTACATGTGCTGCTCGTCCTTCTACACATGCTGCTCGTCCTGATACATCCCCTACTTGTCGTCATGTTCAGGTCTTTGTAGAGATATCACGCCCGCCACCCCGGCCAGCTTCTAGGGCAGTCTCCAAAGTAATACCACCATCCACCACTCACACCATATCACGCCTGCCACCCTGGCCAGCTTCTAGAGCAGCCGCCAAAGCAACAACATCGTCCATCGCTCACACCACGGATCTTATCCCGCCAATCACTGCCATCGAGTGGCCTGCATCTTCTTCTGAATATGTTGATGATGACACTCTAGATGAGGAGTCAGATGCTAGTGAGAGCGATCGTCGGCCTGCCAAGCATCTCAGACGGTATAACAGCAAATAATTGAATATTAATGTTTTCAAATAATATAGATAGCATGTTAGTAGAACAAATCTTTTCGAATTTGTACTTTAATTTCTGACGTGGCAACAGAAGTAGACTCACGGTTTCATCAATGTTATCTTTAGTCGCAAGATGATATTCATTTTGCCGCTTTTCTGTAGCCTCTCGGACCTCCAGTTGGCATATTTGATATCTCGCTGCTTCTACATACAACCATCCTGAGCGCTTATTAGTGCTTGATCGCTGATGCCTGTGCAGTTCCCGGTGTCTTGGGTCACACTTACTATTAGTTGTTATCGCTCCAGGTGTTACCATTCGAAATTCAGGTTGTATTCAGGAATCTCATACTCGAGTCATGATCATCATAATGGGATTGTGCAAATATAGGAGTGCCTGCCAGTATGTTTCCTGCCTCGTCACTCCTTAACTTACTCACAGAATCCCACTAATTTCACTGGTTCTGAACGACGATTGAACTCATTGTTCGATATTATGTATATTCACATCATCCTTATGCTCAATGTTATCTGTATTGCTTTGTTCTGAACCCTCTTGTTAGCCTCTCGCGCCTCCTGAGACCCTCACTCACACCCTCATGAACTTGCTGTCTTGGTTGGGTATCTACCGGTAAGTCTCCTGCTTTCACTTCTTAACGTACTCACAGAATAACACTAGCTTCACTGGTTCTGAACAACATGATTGAACTCATTTCAATGGAACCACCAGCTCGAATATTTGATTGCAAAGTGAGTCATTTGGCATTATGTATAATGTTATCCTCATTCACTTCATTCTGAACCCTCTTGTTAGCCTGTCAAACTCCTGAGAGCCTCAATAGAGCCTCACTAGAGCCTCACTCGCGCCCTCATGAACTTGTTGGCCTTGGTTACCTATCCGAACAAATTTCAATGTCTTACGTTTGTTTAATTCTGTGCTATTATACCATTCTAACTTGTTTAGTCCACATCAGCTCAAATCAGCCTCATAAGTATCAGGGCACTGCTGGGTTTTTTTCGTGCTTTTTCCGATTCCCTATCTGATTTACTCTGTAATATCTTGCGCAAACTGCCCAACAGGCAGTCTACAAAAAATTGTCCTCTACTGCATATTGTACAAGTAAGTAGGTGTGCTCTCATATATTTCTTCTATCATTGACTACATACTGTAGACATGACCCAAAACATCCCCGATGACCTGTCATCTCCTCACCCGAGCTACATGGGACTATCCCCCGATACCTTCGATTACATGCAAGAGCAGTTCGGCGGTGGCCGTTGATGTGCAATGCCCCCTGTTGAGCTGACTCCCTCTCGACTCAGGAGTAAGCTCAAGGCTACAGCACGGGATGTTGGCCTTGTCAAAGGTGCATCTACCCACTGCCAGGCCTATCAAAACCGCACTATGGGAGGTCAAGATCCCATATCTGCGCACTCTGGTGCACCAGACTTACCTCATGTGGTGCCAGGTGGTACTTTAACAAGCGAAACATCATCGCCAATGGTCCACGCGGCTAGTAGTCGCCATGCCTCACCATTTCCTGCCCCACAGGCTCCTGCACAGCTCCAGGATGTTTTTTTTGGTTCCATGGACCAGCAACACGCGTGGATAGATTCTAACTCTGACACCTTTAGCATGATGGGGTCTGAGTCTTTTTTAGCTGGAGGATCACAAAATCACCTCACCACACAGGGCATGGAGCGCCTAGCACCTCCACCAAGTTATACTTTTCCTGCGAGTTCGTCGGGTCAACCAATGACTTCTCATGGATGCTCACTAGATCCTCATGCTACAGGCCAATACCCTTCTGGCTTTACGGAGGATTTTTCTGGCGAAGTCTCACTGTTCATCCTTCAGCCAGTTCCGTCGTCGTCGTCATCTCATGATCATCCGCTTCCCCTCCCAACCACAAATGTCATTCCACCAACACCATTGAAGGATGGTGGCAGCCAGACTAATGCTACCACCTCGACAAATACTATCGGTACTTTGCTGAGTGGTTCCAGTTCGCAGATGGACTTAGAAGGCTATCCTCCTGCCTCTCATGAACGCTTTCCCGAGGAGCACGAGCTGGTGACCCATCAAGAAGGACTTACGGTTACTGGACGCAGGTCCGCAGAGTTGAATGCAGCACTGGATATCGGGTTTGCTGCAGTAGAGCAGTGCTTTCTCGATCTCTCTGCATCCACCACACTCCCTATTTCTCAACTGATTAACTTATTCCTGAAGAGTCGCGGACGCACCGTTAATGGTACTAATTATTGGAACCTATATGCCAACTACTTCAAAGAACATATCCAGGCGGAACTCGCGCGCATTGGCAGAGAAGCTCCCGCTGGAGGTGGCACGCCCAGTAGGTGTCATATTGTATCTTGTTGCACAGGATGTTTATGTCCCTTATAGGTGCAACCGTGCGCATGCAATGTTACGACAAATTCAAAGAAGCATATCCTGATTCTTACCAAGATATCCTGCTAATGCATGAGGAGGCATCGCTCCTTGGATCATCGCCTCAAACAATAGCTCAGCGTGGACAGGGCTTCCAAAAACATTATTGAAGAGTGATACAGATAGTATGTTTTTTCACCCGAAATTCTCTCATTCCCTCATGTCGTTATCATAGCTTGAGTCTGCCGCTGTTAAATTTGGCTTTGAGGCGGCTGTCGTTCTCTGCGGCAAAGTAGTCAATGAAGATGGCTCACTTGGCCACTCATATAACACACCAGGCACTGTAGGGGTAAGTTTTTTGTGCTCTATGTCCCGACGTATACTTAAAGATACAGTTCTGGGAGACACAATGTCATGTGATGCCATTGTTGGGCATCTCAAGGTGCACGTTTAGTAAGTGTAAAGATAAATTATGTTTATGCTATGACTAACATCGAAACAGTAATAGTACATCTTTGACTGCAGTGGATGATGCATTCAACGATGGCACCCACAATGACCCTTCGACCCCAAACTCGACTCTGAACCATGATCGTGACCAATCTCAGGCTCCCGAGGGATGGGATGACAGTTTGAAATGGATCAAGCTCGAACTTATCAGACAAGTTGGTACATTAGAACGTCGCTACTCCTTTTATCCATTTGACCTAAACTACGAATAGCCCAACTTGGGGGCAAGTGCACCTGGGATAAAAACTTCTCTTGGAAGGGCATGTCAAGCGCCCTTGCTGATGCCAATCTCTGTATCAGAGGCTATCCTGCTCACAAGTGTCTTTTGCCCGGCGAAGCTCACAATGAAAACTCAAGGAACAAGGGCATCGGAGCACTGATGCAGAAGGAAATTGCAGTGCTCGTAGATGGGTTGAAGGCAGGAACTATGCAAGTTGTCAAAGTTGACAAGGCACACCGAGGTGAGTTTTGTTTATGTTATACTATGAACTTTCAGGTTTTAACCTCATGTGTAGCGGCTGTGATGGCCTCTGAGAGGCCAGTCATCACTGGCATAGCACCACCACCTGAATGGCCACATGATGGCGCTCGACGACTATTTGCTAATGGTGATACTGACTATCATGGCCCAGCTCATCTCCAGCCTAGCAGTGCAGCTACGAAGGTAAAGAAAGCCACTGATAAGGCACCTCAGGCACCTCTTTGACCCTCCAATGATGACGACGACAATGATTTGGGTGACAATCGCCCGGCAGTACCTGCTGCTCCCAAGTTCTGCAAACCTACCATACGATTAGACCTACCTGCACCACTGCCCTCGCGCCTGTTCAAAGTTGTTGTACCACCAAACCCACGCCCGGTCAAAACTGTTCGAAAGCCAGAACCAGCTGCAGCAGAGAGCGAGGTTATCGAACTGACTTCAACCGAGGAGAATGCTGTCGAAGAGTCGGATACTAAGTATGAAGAAGCGCGCGGGAAAAAGAGGAAACTAAAGGCCACAAACATGTCGCGTGCATTGAAGAAGCTAGCTTCATCCGAGGAGAAGACTGATGCTTCAAAAGCGGGGAAGAAAGGGACACGGGCTCAGACAAAATCACCCAAAGTACCTCCCATGCTGACCTCAACAACCTCTCTGACAAAGGGTGGTCCTCTGTCCCCATTGACAGTGGGGTCATCGAGTGTGGCGGCATCACCAGAACCTGGAAGTGAGTACACTTGATTCTAACTTGACTCCATTTGACTCAAGGCTGACAGCTGTGGTGCCAGCGCGACTTCGGGATGGACCATCTAATGAGCGGACCAAGGGTAAGCAATTTTCAATCAAATTTGTCTTGTAACATAGCTAATGATCTATTGTCTATCTACCCTCCAGTCAAACCACGCCCAATCACCAAGGCATCCAAAGGCAAAATGAAGCGTATTCTTTGCATGGCCTACAGCCAGTCGGATGAATCTGAAGTTGATGAGGGCAAGAAGATGGACGTTATGGTTGCCGAGAGTGCCGTCTCCCCTGGTTTAGTCAATGTCCCCGCAGAATCTTTACAGGAAGGCTCACCTAAGGTAATGCATGATGACAGGCCAGCAGGAACCCAGCAGGAACTGCCTCAGATCACCAAACCCATCGAGGATCTTCACGATGCTGTTCGTGACTCTCGTGACCCCCATGACCCCCATGACCCTCCACACGACCTACATCAAGTTCATCACAAGCTCCCCATACGTCATGATCCTCATGAGGGTGTCCAGCAAGACCTTCGCAAGGGTAACCCTCCATGCCACCCACAGGAACCTCATCGGGAGGTCACTCCTAACCCTCGCGACGACCCTCGTGAGGGTGGCCCTCCTCCACGCCACCCACAGGAACCTCATCAGGAGGTCACTCCTAACCCTCGCGACGACCTTCGTGAGGGTGGCCCTCTTCGCAACTCCCACGAGCCTCGTCATGACCCTCGCAATGCCTTACATGACACTCGTCAACCTCTTCGCGGTCATTCTCGTGAGCCATGGTACATGCATGACGCCATGCACCATCATGAAGTTCATCTGCGTGAAGAAAGTCCTATGATTGAGCATGATACTCTCCACTCCTGTGATGTCTTCTACCACCGCGACTCTCACAATCACCGCTATGCCAGTTTGCAACCTCGTGACTATTATGGACCCAATGAGCCTTGCACTGACAGCGAGTTCACCATGCAGGATACTTCCCCGGCCTTAGAGTCCCATTATACTCACGGTGAGCATGAACGTGCATACCCAAGCCGATACAGCCCAGTGCTCAGTCCTGACTATGCTCATGAAAGTCGATATGCTCGACGCAATGGCCTTGACAAGCGCCAGGCATTTGGTGGAGGAGCATACCGTGACAGTAGGTACCCTCAAGGTAGAGCTCATAACCAGGATTCCAGATGGACGGACAATGTCCGTAATGTTGCATCTTCATCTTTGGACTACGTTCGTCGTGATGCTGTCCCGCGAGCATTTAATCGAGATCCCACTAACCCTCCGCATCCTCCTTCATCTTAATCGACTTTTGATATGCCTGTGCTTTTGTCATTTGTCGGGTTGCTATTTTGGTTCATCTTCTCATGCTTACTTTGTCTTTTTACGGTGATAACTTACTATGGTGGTTTTCTCATCCTACACTTGACCTGTCCCTTTCATACCCTACTTATGTAGCTATCCATTGATTTTTACGATTTCCTCTTGTTTCGACAATGTCAGTATAGCAGCTCCAATGTCTGCCTTGTTTGCTTCAGAACACGTTCAAAACCGCCATGAAACTTAAAGATAACGACACTGCAATGTGATATGTTTTATTACATAAAATGTGACATTCACAACATAAATACAATGAAAAAAGGAAGAAAAAAACATAACATACAATAAAGGGCGGGGAAAAACATAATGTATTGTTGTATGTGTGAGAAGCACAAGAGGCTCCAAATTATGTTGATAAGCGGCAAGACTCTCGATGACGTGATGAAAACATAACATAAGTATGAGTGACAAACATAGGAAATATAACATAAAGGCGAGGGGACAGCATAAGGTATGATGTATCATCGGAGGAGCACAAGAGGCTCCAAATTATGTTGATAAGCGGCGAGACCCTCAATGACGTGATAAAAACATAACATAAGTATGAGTGACAAACATAGGAAATATAACTTAACATAAAGGCGAGGGGACAGCATAAGGTATGATATATCGTCGGAGGAGCACAAGAGGCTAGTGCTGCTGAAGTTCAGTTCCGTCCGGTTTTTTCAAAACAATTGAGGACCGAGAACCGAACCTCGGTCAAGTTCACCAAGGTAGGGTGGACTCTGGGCCAGACCACTTTGAACGGGTTCACAATGGTCGGGTTCGAGTTCGAACCAGTTCGAACCGCCGAACGCAACATGAAATTAGCAAAATTTTCCAAGTACAAACAATTGTAGTAGGCTAGACTATTCAACAATAAACATTTGAGGAGCAACGAGCTCAGCCTGCACCATTGCTGAGACATGGCCTTGATGGTACGCACTTTTTAACAGTTGAAGTGCCTCAAATGTCTCTGGAAGCAAGCAGTTGCGACGTGTGGTGCTGGTGATGCCACCACTTGAGAATGCCTGTTCAGATGCTACCGCAGACCCCTGAATAGCGAGGTAGTCTTTTGCGATGCGAGCAACAGTGGGATACTGAACCGAGTGATGCTTTAAAACAATAATTGTCAGCTTCAAGTTACACGGAATATTAAGGATATGAGGGAAGTGAACTTACACCCCACCACATGACTACATTCTCAACATCCTCCAGTGGTGCAGCTAAGTAGTCCTCCAATTCCCGACGAGGCCTTTGACGAGCTGCATCATTTGAGACGCGAGCTTTGATTGCATCGCGCATCCAGCTCTGGCCGTAGGAACCTTGGCGTGAGAGGGATGGTGTAGCAGAATGTGTCGTCGCGGCAGATGAAGGAGGGGCACGATAATACTGATTAAACTAGATACTAAGTTAGTGCGCAGACAATTTATTGAAATACCCATGGACTTACCACATCTTCGAGCCGTTTCACTCCATCAGCAAAGTCTTGAGACGCCCATTTTGCCTTAGCGTAGGCAACTTTGTAGTTAGGGTCGAGGGCTGCATGAAAGTAAGAGTGTCGTCAAAATGAGAATGTGTGAATTAAGAATGGGGCATGTACCAAGGCAGATGAAGTAGACATCTGTGTCATTTGTCTTGCGGTACCACTTAGCCAGATTGTCCAGGCCGGATGTGACAGATGCTGAAAGTACGTCGAATGTTGAAGTGCCAGCCATGCGTTCCCACGTCTCTTGAAGATATTCGAGGACAGGAATGGTGCGCCAGACTGTAGGTTCCTGAGTAGCTGAGAAAGTCTGTTGAGCGTTAGCAGGCTCCTGCGCAGTGTAGTGCTAGTTAATACAGAAGGTGAAAAAAAGACAGTTGAAGGAACTGACCTGTAGCACGTCTCGAATCAACTCCAACTTTGCCCACTCCTGTTGTGTGAGCTTGAATGCCGAATATGTTTTCCCTTGTAAGTTGGGGACTTCTCCGCTGTCGTCAGCAAGTTGCGTGAACCTGTTCACTCCCTTAAATTCAAATAAATTAGATAGAACATAACACTTAATATAAAACAAACCTTGCGTAAACGAATCACTCGCTCCAACATCTTGAAGAGTGATGCCCAACGTGTTCGAACCCATTTGAGAAGTTCAAGAGTGGGGAGGTCAACCTCAGCGCAGCACTTCTTGAAGAAAACACGAGCTTGCAGGGACTTTCATATCTGCGTGACAAGTGAAAGGGCTTTACCGATAGTATTGGCAACGTCGAAATCGGTTTCATCGTCATCGTCGTCATCTTCTGCTGTCTTCTTGAGTAAAGCACTGGTGGATGTCGGGGCAACCCTCTCAACGAAATGCTTTGCTGCAAGATGCAGCGCATGTTCCATACAACGAACACGATGTTCGACTGGGTCCCAGTTGATGCCATTAGGGTTAGGGTCGATCTCCAATGCGACAGTTCGGATCGCTGTGTCGTTGTTCATGGCATTGTCAGCTGTGAACCAGCCAACCTATGATCAAACAATTAGTAGATAAACAGTAAGTACAATGACATAGATACTCACCTTTTTGCATATATCATACTTATCGATCACTTCGATCAAAATACCACCAATGTTAGTGCCGCTGTGGTTACCCTTAATGAGCCTAAAGGCAAGTTGCTCCGTCTTAAGTTCCCACTCCTGAGGTTTGTCTGCGGGTGAGTCAATGTAATGGGCGGTGACGGAAAGGAATGGGTCGCCTGGTTCAGAAGTCCAGGAGTTGAATGTCATCGGAATCTTGCTGTCAATGTGCTATGACAATTATAATGAGTGAAAATCAGACAATGACAATTATTAACAAACACTTACTGCTAGTTTTTCCTTGACTCGTTCGACAGCAAGTTTTGCTCTCTCTAGAATCTCGTCTCGTGTCTTAGTGCGGTGTGGAATATCTTGATCTGAAAGACTTGGCCGAAGGTATCGCAGGAGGCAGCGAAAGGATCCTTTGTCGACAAGTTGAAATGCCTGCAATTGCGTGAGGATGTGTACATGAAAGAAAGAAATAAACAAATAGTACCTCATCCTCGGCAACGATAAGCTCGACAATATAGTCGACAAGGCCTGACTTCGAAAACTGTGGTGGCTTGGGGACAAGGGCACGATCAAGAGTTCGCTGCCCTCCGTCGGATACCTTGACATTCAAGGGAATAGCGCGCTCGTGCATGAGGATGCCTTTCTCCTTGCAGCGACTCTTGTAAATCGGAAAGTGGCAGTTTGGATTCCGGGCGATGTGAGTATGACGGGTAGAAATGCTGCCTTTGAAGAAACAGTTTTGAAGAGGCACATTTGCTTCCCTATGAGACGGAAGGCAAGTTAGTAAAAAGACGCTTGAAGATGGGGAGCAAAACATACTTGCAAACATTACACCACCATCCATCCTCACTTTCACTGGTGTGTGTGTTCTTGTGGCCTTTTTCCTCGGTGAAGATCAACCGGAGATCTGCCGTCCACTTGTCTTTCTTTAGACTTTTGCGAACCTGGAGGTCTGATATGAGGAAAGCAGGAGAGAGTCTGAAAACACACTTACATCTCGGTCGGCATCTCCAAATGCTTTAATTTGCTGGTAAGCTTCTTCAGCTTCAGCTTCAGCTTCCTTGGCTTCTTTGTCACCTGAGTCCGCAACAAATGACTCATCCTTGTCACCATCGTCGTCGTCACCGCCGCCATCATTGTCGCCAATTGTAGAAGAGCTGGTTGCAGAGACAAGTGGGCGCTTGGTGGCAGGGGGCATGGTGGTAGTACCTGAACGTTTGGCAGGAATGGCACTGCTTGCTGCTTCTCGCACCTTTGCGGAAGGCTTGATAGGCCGGCCAGAGCGACGAGAACCAGCAACAACTGTTGCAGGCATTCGGTGAGAGCCTACGAAAGAGTCCAGGGTATGAGGGCCAGGGGGCAAAGCCTTAGATGAGGATTCAGGATGGGGCGAGATGGGCATGTCGTTGTCAGGATCATGATACCATTCGATTTCGGATGCATCCTTCAAAATGCCATTAGCATTAACTGCAGAGTTAAACATGTTTTGATAAATAAACTTACCTTGCATATACCCCACCCTTTTATTCTTGGCTGATGTTCTGCGCAAGGCCAGAATGAGATGTGAATATTCATTTCGATCAATCGTGTTGGTGATGCAATGTCTATTCCGATCAATCGTGTCGGTGATGATGGCGCCGGTGAGGATTGTGCCGGTGATGATTTTACCGGCAAACTTACTGATGTGTCGACAGTGAGTATCCTTCGAACCTGAGGAGTCGCAGAACAGAAGCAACAGAAGCAACAAACCTGCAACTCTAATGATGGGTTCGGACCGGTTCAGACTCGTCCGAACGGGTCTGACGTCCATCCGAGACCACCTGAATGAAGAACTTATGTAAGGTTCAGTCCTGTATTGTACATCGAACCCCTGACCGAACAGTGGTTCCGTTCACAAAAGTTCACATCAGGAAAATCAAAAAAATTCTTAATGAACCTTAGATAAACTTAGCATCACTTAATAAATATTTTAAGTCGGATTCAGCCAAAAAACATTAAGGGGATTGTGACTTGCCACAAGTAGGGTCTTCGGATGAATCTGACTTAGCTGCTCTGATTGCTGTGCTTATTATTAGAGCTAAGTGAAAGGTAGTAGGGTCTTCGGCTGAATGTGACTTAGCTGCTCTGATTACTGTGCTTATTATTAGAGCTAAGTGAAAGGAAGTACTAGTAGTACAGTACTACTAAGGCTACTACTAGCAGAAAGACTGTTTCAAAGTACTTTCAGGCTCCAAAGCTTCAAAAGTCAATATTAAGTAAAAAACAACTGAACTTTTGCATGGGTGACTTAGGGCTGTTTATTGCATGCGCACCACTTAATGTACTTCAAACTACTTTACTACGCTCTGAAAGGTCCTGAACTGAGCTTGAGCGCACCCTTAAGGACATAAAATCACTGAGATAAGTCAAACGCAGCATGATAAGAATCTGTTCAAGTCACATGCAGTAGCATTCAAGTTGTGCAAAGTAGTACTAGTAAAACAATGAAAAAAAACAAGAATCACCGGCGCCGGCTTCAAGGAGGAATGAACAAGCGACTTTGAGGCTCCTACTCCACATCTGAGTCAGATCCATCATTTCCCTCGGACTCGGTGTCAGATATGTCCACCAGCTGAGCGCGTTCATCCAGATCAAGGTCATCCTCCACAGCAGCATCATCAACGTCATCGCCAGGACGACGACTCTTCTTTGAGAATTCCATGGCAGATGCAATGATGACTTCGAACTTGTCTTCGCGGAGATTCTTCATGATAGCCTTCGCATAGGCGCGCGTCGATGTACCCCAGGAGATGTCGTTGAATCCTGTTTGCCGACAGGACACCTTGCCAGTCGACTGATTCATCGTCTTTGGCAACGAGATGCTGGTTTTGTTCTTCACGGCCTGAACCATTTTGATGGTGAGAGTACGAGTAGACCAGAGAGTTAAAGCTCGTTCGACCTAGTTAAAATTGTCAGTTCGTGAGTTTCGAGAATAAATAGGATGACGAGTACTTACCGCAGCACATGACAATGCGAGACCCCCAGCAGGATTTGCTAGTACACCTGGCTTGTCTACCCCAGGTATCTTTTGGGCACCACGGGTCACGGTGAAGTGTGCACCGAAGGTTTGCACAACAAATGCACCTTGATAAAGGCCCCGGAATTTCTGCGTTAAGCATTAGCACAACAACAACAACAACTCGGAAATTGATTGAGACGGAAGGAGTACATACAGACTTGTCATCACCATTTGCCTTCTTGTATAAGAATCGAAGGTTGCTGAGTGCGAACACTGTGAATTCCGCACGATTGTCATCAGAGTCCCTCAGCGAGTCCTGAGACTCAAAGTACGCAATGACAATTGCGATAGCTGCGGAGCCAATGTTGCTGCGGTAGGAGTCGGCAACTCGCTGGACAGCCTATATTGAAGTAGATCTAAGTTAGTACTGTGTTAGTAAAATTGAGCGCACTTACGATGTAGTAGACTGAACTAAGGCTTGTCACTGTGTGGCCGATATGGGGAAAGATCGCATCCCATATCACCTGCATCTTCTCACAGGCCAGCTTGGCGGGAACATCCCAGGGATTCGCCAATGTCGCAACATATTGTATGTATGTCGAGATAAAGACACAGCACCAGATTTTGGGATCGATGCCTTCGGGGAGGTCGTCATTGCTGGGTTTCTTCGCTCGTTCAGTTTGACAGGCTATTGGCTTGATGGGGGAATCTTTAACAAGAGCCTGTAGTAGTCAGTAGTAGTAGAAATAAACATGACGTCAAAACAGACACTTACTGAGCTCGTAACTCGTTTTTTCCCTTTGGGAGGGCTGGCGACTGCAGCCTCACATTCGAGACCTTGAGTCTCATCCTCGTCAGAGAGCCCTCCATCAATGACTCCAAGGTGATAGTTCTTCTTGGGTTCTTCTTTGATGCGAATGACCGGTTCTGCGTGAGAAATCAAAATGTTGTTAGTCAGGACTGAGTTGGACGATGATCGAGTGCTGCCATTGGTCAGGGGGGGAAGAACGGATCCATTGCGGCGCGAGGCTGATCTATTTTTAAAAATGCTGGGCTGGCTGGTGTTGGCCTTGCTACCAGGCTTTGAGTTCTCTGGGATGCTCGCAGCCCAATCATTGATGCCAGTTGAAAATTCCTTTGAGTCCATAGCACTAGCAGAATCACTGAGAAAAAAATAATAAAGTGTCGTTCCGTCGAGAGTGAGCATGATATTGATGGACAAGTGACGACAGGAAAAGAAGAAGGGAACTTCGTACCTTTTTGGCTGAACCGATTTCTTATCACGTTGCTGCTTCCCCTTCCCCTTATCATCTGACTTCTCCTTCGCCTTCTCCGTCACCTTCACCTTCGCCTTCTCCATCACCTTCCTGCTACCCCTTTCCTCAGTCTGACTACCACGAGGCCGTGCCTTAGGTGTGTTCTCATTGCTCAATGCTGGCATTGCCCACTGAGGCTTAGCTGGGATATCAGTAAGCATAGGTTCGTCATCCGAGTGATCGGCTTGCTGAAGGGCTGATCTTTTGCTGTGAGCTGCTGTAGGCGTCGCATCAATGACCAGGACATTCGACTCCGTATCTGAGTCAATGCTTATTGTGCTGGGAGGTTGGGCTGTCTTCCTCTTCTTCCTCGTCTCCTGCTCATTTGCCTCTTCCAGTTGCGCCACCTTAATAGCATCCCGCACCTTAGTCTTCTCAGCCGGCACCTTCTTGCCCTCCTGTTTGTCGATCCTTGCCTTCTTTTTTGGTGGCGAAGTAGGAGTTTCACTCAACTCTGAGCCATCCATGCGGGTGTCAGTTGTTTCTGAGGCTTGGGATGGATCTGGGTTGTAGGTGCTGGTGTCAATGACGGCTGTCGTCCATCTCGACATCAGAAATGAATCTGTCGTCTTCAGGAGGCAGAGTGGGTGATTTTGCACGAGTCTTCTTTGGAATGGGCTTTGGACGGGGCTTTGACTTCGGTAAGACTGCAGCCCGCGGGGTAGCATCGGTTGACGCGTCCTTTTCTGCTTGTTTCTTCTCATATTCAGCAACACGCTTGATCCCAGCGCCCTTGGCACGTTCCTTTTCTTCTTTGGCATCTAACTTAGCCTGACGCTCAGCAGCTACTTCTGCAGCCGTGCGACGTTTCTTCTTCGGGACCGCGTCTACAAGACCAGGATGCTGAGTTGCATTCTTGGTGCGGGTAACACTGGCGAGTAGACATTGGTGAGTCGGAGTGGTGGAAGGAGCAAGACGTGAAAGGTGAGCAAATTTCATCAACTTTACGATGGTGGTAGTCATAATACTAACTAAAGTGGTTCAAATCGGGACTTAGGGTTTTGCCACGCCTCACCAACATGGCACACTGGCATTGGACTCCCGCTCTGGTATGTGTTCAATGATATCTATACAACTGATATCGATCTTTTTTTATCTACAGAGCTAATCAATGCTCACCCAGATGTCGAATGGAACTCTGCGATTGAACTTGTGTGTGACAATCTCGCCACATTTTCTAGCCTGCAGGCAAGCGTGTTCTTCGGTATGTGCTCGTGTCTATTCAGTGGTTCGGAGAACGCTAATCTGAGTCTATTATACCAGATACGGCAGTCTTCTCGATGTTCACCCAGATGTCGAATGGAACTCTGTGATTGAACTTGTGCATGACAATCTCACCACGTTTTCCTCGGTATGTGCTCATGTCTATTCAGTGACTTGGAGAACGCTAATCTGATTTTATTATGCCAGATATGGCAGTCTTCTCGATGTTTGCCCAGATGTCGAATGGAACTCTGCGATTGAACTTGTGTGTGACAATCTCGCCACATTTTCTAGCCTGCAGGCAAGCGTGTTCCTCGGTATGTGCTCGTGTCTATTCAGTGGTTCAGAGAACGCTAATATGAGTTTATTATGCCAGATACAGCAGTCTTCTCAATGTTCGCCCAGATGTTGAATGGAACTCTGCTGATTGATATGGCAGTCTTCACATCGTTTCAGCTTCGTCTTCATCCCTCCAGCCCGTTCTGCTCACTATGGCTGCTGTACATGGTCCCATACTACCTGCCCATCCCTCTCCATTCCGCCCACTATGGCTGCTGTACATGGTCCCATACTACCTGCCCATCCCTCTCCATTCCGCTCACTATGGCTGCTGTACATGGTCCCATACTACCTGCCCATCCCTCTCCATTCCGCAATGCTCAGAGTGTGCCCCATTCCAGAATGGGCTATCATCCCGCACCCTTGGTCAGTCTTTAGTAGCCGCTCGTCATATTCGCACTAACCTGCAGTGCTAGATCGGGCAACCGATGACGGCAAATTGGACCATCATCCTTCACGACACCATCATCCAGCCCGTTCTGCTCACTATGGCTGCTGTACATGATCCCATACTACCTACCCATCCCTCTCCATTCCTCTCCATTCCGCAATGCTCAGAGTGTGCCCCATTCCAGAATGGGCTATCATCCCGCACCCTTGGTCAGTCTTTAGTAGCCGCTCGTCAACTCATCCCCCACTCGCATCGTTTCAGTTTCGTCTTCATCCCTGACTTGCATCCCTCACTCACATCATTTCAGCTTTGTCTTCATCCCCACTCGCATCATTTCAGCTTTGTCTTCATCTCTCACTCGCATCGTTTCAGCTTCATCTTCATCTCTCACTCGCATCGTTTCAGCTTCGTCTTCATCCCCCACTCGCATCATTATCACTTCGCCCAGATGTTGAATGGAACTCTGCAATTAAACTTGTGCGTGTCAATCTTGCCACTTTTGCTAGCCTGCAGTCCGCATGTCAAACACTTTCTCTAGAAGAGCCCACTACCCTGCCCTTTTCCCGATCTGGATCTCCTGGTAATCATTCATGCTGTCCAACTTAATGGCTGCCTCATTGTTGGTACGTAGTATGCATGTTTGTTGTACCATTGCCTCATGTTACTTTTGGAAGGTTCTCACTGCTCCCAACAACGCATACACCTCGCGCTTCAAGTGGCGCCTTCACAGGCTCTTATGCTAAGGTAAGTTTGCATATAAATATCATGCCGCATGCACCTCTGAAGCTCAGACTTGTAGGCTCTCATTACCCCGCCAGTTCTACACCATCACACTATACCATCCAGTACCAACCTCCATATTCGCAAAATGCGCACCCTTAGCCATCGTCAGCCTACGCTACCATGCTTAGCAGTAGGCTGCACCCGCCATTTCCATAATAGGTCCAGGCGCACTTCCCACATGCGATCACAGCATGAATCACAGACTTTCCGACTGCCACACCATTCATCCTCCAGTTCCAGTAGTTCTCCCCCACCTGCTAGTTGCAAGCGCAATTCATCATCGGCGTCTCAGTCTGGCCCTGAACATCCCTTATTTGACTCAACATATCATTCGTGCAGCCGGAGCAGATCAGAGGGAGCTTCTGACAGTCGCACTCAGGCTAGTGGCGGTCGTGATTTTGATATGGTGTTCAATCCACCTGACTTGGAGGATGTCATTGAGGATGGTCATGGCAGCCATCATGATTTTGAGTATGATGCACCACACGATACCTTTGAGGATCGGCATTCTGCTGAGCCGCCGGCAGACTCTACAGGTGGCTTGGATGTAGATCAGCCTCCTGGTAGTAGTGCTAGTTCTGACAGCCAAGCTTGGAGTCGACCTCAGGTAACTAGGTCATATCATCCCATCATTAACGGTACGTGACTTCTCTTGATGCTCATACAATTTATGCTCAATTCTCCTCTACAAAGGGAGAATCTGCGATGGTCAAAGGAATCCCATACCCCCAGATGCTCCACCACCTCCACGCCCATCAGATCGTGGATCTGACGACTGGACGCCATACAACGATCGTGTCGAGTTTGAAGTTGCTGATTTCCTGTACCGTCGCAACCAAATGTCTGCAGGCGATATTGATTTTGTATTCAATCTGTGGGCAGCTTCATTAGCAGCTCACGGTGATACCCCGCCATTCACAAACCACACCGACATGTACGACACCATCGATTCAACTCCTCTCGGTGATGTTCCCTGGCAAAGCTTCAGCTCGCAGTACAACGGAATTTTACCTGACGACCCGGTGTAGAGACTCATGCCTCTCATTGTGCAATATGGCAGTTTTCACTGGGGAGTACATGGCACGAACTTGTAGCATCACTCTGTGTGCTACCTGCAGCTATCTCTATATGAGGCGCAGCTTTCCCGCGCAACGCGCGCCATGCGCGCGTACCTTTCCCGCGCTTCACGATGTATATGCGCGCGCGCTTTCCCGCGCTTGAGCGCCCTATAGCGCCAGCCATCCGGAAGCATCCATCCACTGTCCACCAAGTTCCCTAGTGCGTATATGTCCATTTCTCACATTTGCATATTGTTCCATCTTTATTTTTATCATGGACCCTTACTTACATATATCTTTACATACCTTACTCGGTAGCGCTTCGGCTCCGCATGACAGCGCTTAGGCGCCATACTTAAGCGCCAGCAGTACATACTATGACTTACTCTCCCACCAGAACGACAGAGGACTTACTGGTTACTACCCACTATTTACCTAGCAGAACATAGTAGAAATCTATTTGTTTACACCTCGCATCTCTCTTCTCTTGTCTTACATCATATCATCACCTAAGCAAACTCACTCTTACTCTCTCTTGATTCCGCATACACGCACGCGCATTCCCGCGCTTCGCATTGGCCAACCAGTAGCGCTTTCAGCGCATACCTCTAGATCCTTGCTGCACTCGCTTCCCCTTTAGGGTCGAACGCACTTGTCGTCTCAAGTATAGCAGACTAGGCAACGCGCGACCTTACAACATTTATAGATACAACCAGGAGCATTGTTCGTGCCTCGCTGTATCGTTGAACCTTCACCGGATGACATTCCATCATGGATGAAGTCTGAGTATGATGTATGGTTCCAAGACCCTCGGCTCCTGGTTCACAACATCATATCAAACCCGGATTTCAAGGACGAATTCGACTATGCACCGCTACAGGAGTATAGCATTAGTGATGGAGCGCATCAATTTCAGGACTTTATGTCCGGCGACTGGTGTTGGAAACAGGCCGTAAGCGTTGCTCACTTACTCCTTCGCGTTGTTGTCTCACTTCTATCATTCACTGCAGGACTTAATTGCGCAAGATCCGGATACAATAGGATCGATGTTCGTCCCTATTATCCTTGGAAGTGACAAGACAACAGTCTCTGTCGCCACTGGCCATAACCAATATTGGCCGGTCTATATGTCCATTGGCAACATCCGCAACAATGTGCGGCGTGCACACCGCAATGGTGTCGTACTACTTGGCTTCTTAGCCATTCCAAAAGGTACGTACTCTCTACTAATTGTGTGCGCTGCTGTTACTAATGTGGTACTGATTTACTTAGCTGATAATGAAGACACCAAGGATGCACACTTCCGAAAGTTCCGCCGCCAGCTTCTACACTCGTCACTTGCAAAAATGCTTGAAACCCTCAAACCTGGCATGACCAAACCGGAGGTTGTCCGTTGCCCTGATGGCCACTTTCGACGAGCTGTGTATGGTCTTGGACCATACATAGCTGACTATCCCGAGCAAGCACTGCTTGCATGTATTGTACAAAATTGGTGTCCAAAGTACGTTTTTGTCTTATTCTTCGTGTCCCTATGCTAAGTAGGACTATGGTGCTCTTACACCGGCAGATGCACCGACACCAGCAGACGGTCTCGATGAAGGCACATATGGCCGACGTTCCCGCAATCACACCGAAGTTTTGGTTGAGGAATTCGAACTAGGTGTTCTGTGGGATGAATACGGCCTTGTTGGAGACATTGTGGTGTGTACAATACTTCATCTACTCGTCTCTTTTGAACTTACACTATTGATACAGCCATTCACTAATTACTTTCCACGCGCCGACATACACGAGCTTCTCTCCCCAGATATCTTACACCAGCTCATCAAGGGAGCGTTCAAGGACCACCTAGTTAGTTGGGTGCACGACTACATCGAAGCTCAATATACAGAAGCCAACGCGAACAAGATACTGGACGACATTGACCGTCGGTAAGTTTATCTTCAAATTCACTTCAAGCTGCTGCTGCTGCTGAATAGTAGTATGTGTCACACAACTAGCATCGCTCTAGCTCCAGCGTTTGCAGGCCTTCGACGATTTCCAGAGGGTAGAGGATTCAAACAGTGGACTGGTGACGACTCAAAAGCTCTCATGAAGGTCTGTACCGATATTCTTATATTTTACATAGCAACAGTACTAATATTTTTAATGCGCATTTACTGCCCAGGTCTATATACCTGCTATCGAAGGTCATGTACCCAAAGAGATGGTACAGGCTTTGCGAGCGTTACTCGACTTCATCTACATCGCTCGCCGCAACATCATCAGCTCTAACAGCCTCGACGCAATGGACGATGCCTTGAAGCGTTTCCACAGGTACCGCAAGATATTCCGAACATCCGGTGTTCGACCCAGAGGATTTAATCTCCCTCGACAACATTCACTCATCCATTACCATAAGCTCATTCGAGCGTTCGGCGCACCAAATGGGCTTTGTTCGTCTATAACAGAGTCCAAACACATTAAAGCCGTCAAGGAGCCATGGCGCCGGTCGAGTCATTTCGAGGCTCTCAGTCAAATGTTACTTACCAATCAGCGTCTCGACAAGCTAGCCGCTTCACGCGTTGATTTTGTTGACCGCGGGATGCTATGAGGGACGTGTTTGTCATACATCCTCAACAAACTTGGTATGTGATTTTCATGATGCTGGGCTCGCCAACACTAATCACCACCTTTACAATTCACAGGGATACTAAACGCTCCATTGGAAGCACACATCAAATGAGATGTCCCAGACCAGGATGAGCCTTTTGGATGCTACCATCATGCAACTAATGATGGCGAAGGTAGTGCAGACGAGGGTGAGGGTAACACCAATGCTGAGCCTGATGCTGATGCTGTTGATGGGCCAATGGTCCTTGCCCATGTTGACCTGGCGAAGACAGCTGGTAAGTAGTTTTGTGTATACTTGCATGCTTCCGCTCACCATACACCTTACTACAGCCAGACGGATCTACCCAGAGCTCATTGCAGATCAGATAGGTCAACTCAACTTCACAACTTTGATTTAGCATTTTCTGCGTGACCAATGCCGTGCTGACTCTGACTCATCTAGCTCTGACTCCTCCCGGTCTGCACTTCCTGAGATCTACGAAAAGATCACACTGTACACTTCAGCCGTGGCCACCTTCTTTGCTCCTAGCGATTTATCGGGGATTGGCGGTATGCGCTACGAGCGTATTCGCGCTGTAGATACGTGGAGAAATGGCCCTGGGCGCTATGATTGTGTCTTTGTTAGCACTGATTCGTCTGCCGATGGCATGCGCGGCCTCAACATTGCTCGAGTGAGACTATTTTTTTCTTTGAAGCATGATGGTATCACGTACCCTTGTGCACTTGTACAGTGGTTCAAACGTGTGGCTGACTCCCCAGATGAAATTACGGGAATGTGGGTTGTAGAGCCGGAGCTTCTTGAAGATGGAGCACGCTGTGTGTCTGTCATCCACCTTGATAGTATATTTCGTGCGGCCCACCTTATACCAGTATTTGGGGGCGACTTTGTGCCAACCAATCTCACTTACTCGCAGACACTCGACGCTTTTTGCACTTATTATGTCAACAATTTCATTGATCATCATGCATATGAGATCGCATTTTGACTTATCGTAGTACTTATTATTGTTTAGCTGAAATCAACTTATGTTTTCCGCTTAGTAATGATACTCTGAGTGAGTCTACTACTTAGTAGATCTCAAATTTCACTTATTATCACCTGCCTACTTAAAATTCTGAATAACACTTGATTCGCAGATTTCTTTCTTGTATTTCCTTTGTGAAGAATTCTCTAAGTAGAAATTAAGTAGAAATGATCTTCTTACATGACTTGGTGCACTTAGTATTGTTTCAAGTAAACATAAGTAAGATAAGTTGGCTAAGAATTTTTATAATTTTCCTGATGTCTGAAAGCTCAAACTATATCTGCAGCTGCACAAAGCTGTAATAGTCAGGTGAGGCCAGGCTGGAAGATCACTAATTTGATGTATTCAAGATGGTAACGAGTCATGAAAATGTGTTCATTGTATGACACGACGTTAAGAACTGACAAGTTGTGCACAGACGGATCCGGACAGACCCGCATGCAGCTGGACGGAGACTGCCGGAAATTCGGATTCCCAGACTTTCTGCAAATAAGGTGCCGTTCGGACGACAAATTCTAGGTTCGAAATTCCCGGTTCAAATTGCACGTGATGGCCGCACGTGATATATGCTGATAGATAATCGTAGGATCAAATGTACGTCCTGTTCTTACGCCCATCATGATTCCAGATCTTGAAGCACAAACGCAGCGTCGACACCACCAAATCGTGATCATCATAACCATTGCCATTGCACAGATTACCTACTTATACAACCTCCTGTTCTTGTCTCACACTGAACGAATTCCATACCATACATCGATCCTCACCGGCCAAGCTTGGGTCTACGAGCTTATCAGCAGTCATCCAGACCGAATTCAACATAACTTCGGCATCAACCTTGAGACGTTTGAGCAATTGTTAGACACTCTCCACCAACATGGATTCGTTCAATCGCGCAATGGCGTCACCGTCGCCGAGCAACTTGGTATATTTCTGTACACATGCGTTACCGGACTATCATCTCGTCACGTTGGAGAAAGATTCCAACGTTCTCCCGACACGATCACTAGGTAAGTACATTAATTATTTGAGACTAATACTGTGCTAACTTTTGCAGATATTTCAAACGGATGCTTGTGTTCTTCTCATCGCATCCCTTCTACACCTCCAATGTCCAACTCCCAAACAGTGATACTCCCATTTCCACGGCAGTACATGCAGACCCGCGATTCAGATTCTTCGATGAGTGTATTGGTGCCGTCGACGGCACTCACATCCGGGCCTTCGCGCCACTTGAAGACCACACTATCCTGCGTAACCGGAAGGGGTTTTTATCGCAAAACTGCCTGTTTATATGCGACCTGGACTTTTATTTTATGTACTCGCTCACGGGCTGGGACGGCTCAGTCGCTGACGTGACGCTCTGGAATGACGCGCGCTCTCATGATTTGCGCATACCTCAACACAGGTACCTTCTTGCTGATGCGGGTTTCGGTACCTGTGATGCGCTTCTAGTACCTTATCGGGGAGTGCGCTATCACTTGAAAGAATGGCGCCAAGCAAACATTGCGTGAGTTTATTTATCGTACATATCTGATTTGCTATTAATTTTGTTATAGGCCACGCGACTCTAAGGAATTATTTAATCTTTGACACGCGGCACTACGAAACATTGTCGAACGGATATTCGGTGTTCTGAAAAGGCAATGGCGCATTTTGACGATCGCGCCTGAATACAGCCTGCATATCCAGGCCCGGATCCCAGCCGCGCTATGCGCGATTCATAACTTTACACGAAGGTACAATCCTGACAGTTTTGATCTCACTCTAGACCACGAGTATGATCTCGTGGAGGACGACACTGTAGCACACGGGACGCTGTCTGAAGGACCGGCGGATACTTCTGAGCGGATGCTCATCGAGAGGCGATTGCACTCGCAATGTGGACTGATTATCTCGAGGAGCGCAAACGAAGGGGTCTCCCATTGCCGTAGTTACAGATACTATACAAATTTTGTACTAGAAAACAATCAAGCATGCTACAACATAGTCATATGGTTCTGTGAGGCTCACGGCGCACCACCACAAAGGACTCGTTTCTCTTCCAACCACTCGAGCCTTGTCACCTCGTCCAACGAATAAAAAATAATGGCCTGGTTTTCGTGTTCGGCTAAAAAGTTCGTGATGGCTAACCGCTCTTTACTGGTAAGGTCCGTGTACATATTAAGTAAAGAAATAGCCCTCCCAACGTGTGTGGAGGGCTGTGGTTGCACCGGCGGTTGCGGTGGAGCTAATACGAGGTTTTTCTGCATCTCACGCACGACCTCAACGAGGTTCTTCATCGTTTCGGTACCCTCCTGCTGCACTAACAGCGTGGCAGATGGCAGCCGACTCCATTTCTGGGAACTCGCAGCAGATCCAGGAGCAATAGCGCTGAATTTGCGCTTTCCATGGCTAATGCTGGTCCATACCGAGTCGGTAGAACCTTCGGTGGATGGACAGAGGAAGGTAGAGGGAGGAGGTACTTCGAGGGAGTCGGGATCTACTGACGATGGCGGCCCCCAAGTGGCATTATCGATTGCAGTGGGGATCAAAGGTGGTGTAGAGGCGGTGGGGATCAAAGGTGGTGTGGAGGCAGTAGAATCCTGAGGCACATTGCTGGTGGCGGTGGGTCGGAATACATGCGAGCCTTTGGCTTTGCTTGGAATCAGTTGTTCCATGATTTCGAAGTGCTCGAAGCCCTTCATCATGAAGGGCTTCGCATGAGGGTGTGTCTGAAAACAACGTCATGAAGGGGTGGCAGCGTGCAATCTATCATAATGCGTACCTTGACAAAGCGTGCCCAAACATCGTCTTTTCTATCCGTGATACCTGCTCCGTGCTCGTGACTCCACGTAAAGCCCGACGTACACTTGATTTCGATAACGCTGTGGTATGCTTTTTTTAGCTATAAAAACATGTAAGGACATTGCTGGCGGCTGAAAGGGTTTAATAGAAACATACCGCTTGCCATTTGGTCTTGCAAACTAGACCACTCTTTTCCGCACCTCTCTGATGCGGGAATTTGAGCTTAAGATTGGCGGATGCCTGATTAAAGGCAGGCATCTTGAAGCCTCCATCTCCGGACGAAGGTAGGGCAAGCAGGAGGAAGTCCAGAAAGGCGCCTTCCTCTGCTTTTGTCCACATGGCAGGAGGCTTGCGGGTTGCGCTAAAGGCAGCGGCCGATACCACATCGACAGTGCCTCGAGAACGTAGCGAATGTGATGAGCTAGCACTGGACTTATCAGACATATCGACGATGGTATGTATCTAGATGGTGATAGCGATGGATGTAGCGGGTGATCCCGCTCACGTGCGGCCATCACGTGCAATTCGAACCGGGAATTTCGAACCTAGAATTTGTCGTCCGAACGGCACCTAAAGGATTCAGAATTTGATTTTGCAGATAGGATTGGACAGACGCTTACCATTTCAAACTCCGCGTGAAGAAGAAACCTACTTCGCTTCAAATACAACCTAAAAAGACGTCGAAAGGTTAAATTTCCGAGGCTGGTTTTGCATGTGGTGGAATAGCAAGTATTTGAAGGGAATAAACGGGGGTCGGAAAAGACGTGTTAACGAAGTTAGAAAAGCATTTGTTAACTACTCATGTTGCTTCGGACCGAGCGAACAAAATTTGTGACATGTCGGATTTTTGTCTGATTATAAGCCAGGTACGTCTAGAGTCGTATTATACGTATCGCGCTGTCTCCCAGTGTCTCCCTCTGATTAGGGTCTGGCTAAAATCTCGTTTCTGCAGTGTTAATATTGGTGCGCATTAGCTCAAGATTAGCTGATGCAAAATTTCAAACCCCGCATAATTTTGCCGAGCTGCCGCCGGTCGAAACGCCGTCCTGGCACGCCGGCCTGTCGAAAAACCAGACTTTCTAGAAAGGACAGTCATTCAAACTTATAAGTTATACATTGAGAGTACATATACTTACGGAAAGTCACCCAATAACATGTTGCACATTTACACAAGTCGAAATTTGAAAAAAAAACCATGCATTGCATAAACTAGAATAGGATCCTGCTACGTAAATTCTACCCATGTCCACGAGGATAAACATCAATCGGACTTTGAAATATGTCCCGGCAAATCGATCACCATACATCTAAAACAAGTTAAGCAATAGCTGTCCCCGAAGTTTGGTACGGTGTGGTTATTCTGTCATCATTGAGGTCGACGTCCAGCATAAACCAAAGGCCCCGCCGTTTTCTGCAATAAGTCCCATACCAACAAGAGGAGCGCGAACAAAGTCCACGGTTTAAGCACAAATGACGACCACGGTCTACTCCTGGTGGCGGTCAAGTTGCAGAGGCTGAAAATCTATGCGTCATAGGAGCCTTGTGCCATCTATAGATGTATCATCGCCTGACGGACTGGTTTATGAGTAACATTAAGCGATCTATGTATGAGTGCTTACTACTGCAGCAAATCCACGAGAGCCAAGAACGCTTTCCTCGTGGAGGCCGAGTTACTCTACTGGAAATGCTCATGCGCGAATTCGCAATTTCGGCGATAATCTTGTTGCGTTTAGGCTTGTCTCTTGTCGTAGCAATCCTCTGAAAGGATGTGAGTGCCTGAGATCTGCGTACGCCACGCGTAGTAGAGCCTGGACTTACATCTCGTTCTGTGTCGTGGACTTTGCGGCCAGGAGGACGAAATAACTTCATTTCGAGAACAATCGTCGTGTGATTAGTTAAGAACTTCGAGAACGATCTGAGGCAGAGATTTGACTGTCACTTATTTGAGCAAAAGCGATTGTTGGGACATTAATGCTGGGGATATGGATTTGCTTTCGAATGTTTGGCAGCATTCCTAAATATTGCAGTTATAACGTTAAACCCATCGCCCAACGTAGCCTTAGGTACTGCAAAGAATAGCCTCACCAAGAATGGCATCGATGCAGTGAATTCCAGCATGGGAGATCCGTTGAAATCTCACGGGTTCCTCACGCCCCTTCCACCGCGACTACCACTCAATTCATAACAATTCATAATGGGACCACCAGATTTCAGCGCAATGTCGGTCAGTGACCTTTTAAAAAGACTGAATTTTTGAGGACTCACATGGAAGACCAGAGGAACAGGGCATCTAAGTCTAAGTCTAACAAGATTGTAGCGGAGACTACTCAAACAGTTGACAAGAAAAGCAGAAAGGCTCAAAGGCCTGCGCCCTGGCCATTCGGGAAACATCGCGACGAGGCTCCGAAATCTGGTGCTAAAAAGGTATGTTGGGTACTGTTATCTTACGGGATCAAAGACCTCACCCGGATGAAGTGATGAGTGTGATAATTTAAAGTTTGCTTCGTGCGGGGAAGGAGCAGTATAGAACGGTGCTTAAATTGGAGTGGCGCAAAGACAATGATTATGTCTCGGAGAGTCGAGACATGCCGAGCGCTGCCAATGAGGGTACGGCGGGATGATTCTATGAGAGAGTTGATAATATGACAATTACATAATTTAACGTTTGTTATTTCTACAACACTCTATAGTAAGTACTAGTACCGACTTGTTTCTTTGACAGACAACTACATGGTTAAACAGTCGAAATCCTTTCCTATACTTATATTCGATATATGACAACATCTTCTCACCGGTTCTCTGATGAGAGTCTGCTAGGGGTCTTGTCATTGTAAATGTCGTGAACTTGTTCAGGGTTCGAAGTTCGAAGTAACTCGAAAGAACCGAGTAAGGTCCGAATTATAATGGGGTACCATTGAAACTCCTGGCAGTCATCTCACTGCTCAGTAATATCATCAATCGACATATAGCAGGATCCAGGGAGATATGGACCTCCCCCCTCGAGCCTTCCTTAGGTTCGCCATGCTGTGGAAACGTTTCAAGACACTCTCGAATGGACTCCCTTCCCTATCCCTCACCCTTTTCCGGCGCCTGTTTGGCAGTCTATTGAATATCCTACATTCCTGCTCTTTCCGGAACTCCATACGTTCATTTCTAAGTATTTACCGACCACCTGACAGTGGTTTTAGCACTCAGTCAAATGTCTCGGCGGGAGTCGCTGCGATCAGTCTCCGAGGTCTTCCAACAGGACTTGCCAACGTATCCGGTAGGTTGTTTGTCAGTAATCAACTAAATTATCCTTGCATGGCTCATAAAGTTTTGTCGCAGGTAATATTGCATGCAGTTCGGTACCTGTTGCTATACCTTCCCCTGCTGCTGTATTGCCAGGAGTGAGTGGTCTTCAGTCGCAGTTACATCAACACAGTGCGCCCCCAGCCATACCAGCTCGCCGCCGCCGTAAAGTTCCTTTTGTGGCTTCAACCGTTCAGAGATATGGAAAGGACATGCAAATGTAAGTTATTCTTGGTGCTCCTTATGCAGCGGCAGCTTGTTTAGAAATATGCATCGTATAGTAAGTCTTCTAGCGGAATAGAAAGTATCCAGCCTCTCGTCAGACAGTACCCAAAGTAAGTAGTTGATATTCTAGTAAACGATCCTCAACTAATGTTATGCAATCAAGACGCCAGTTGCCTAGCAGTACTGGTTGGGAAGCGCATGTCCACCCGGAGGGTACCCTGTATTTCTATCATCCAGGAAAGGTCAGTTCTTCCTGTCGTGATTCACAACACTCCAACGATTTCATTAGAGGGTCTTCACCGATACAAACGTTCAAGTGCAAGCATTCCTCAACGACTTAAACGACTGTGCAGACGATCTACTCGCTCTTGCTAGGAGCAGTGGTGTTGATTTGACAAGTAGTATAGAACTGACGCTGCAGCTCGGCGTGGATCCAGATACCAAAGAACGGGTTTGCAGCTATTATTTCACTGACCGTGCCGAGCGCACCCTCTTCTGGCTTCATGAATTAGGCACCGAAGATCTTTTTGATGGGGTCAGAGGGGTCAGGGATCACAGCCATATCCGTGAGTATCTGCCCAATGTCAGGATGGCACAGAATTGACTTCCCATTACAGGTTATGTCATCCAATTTCAGTACTGGTAATCGTTCAAGTTGTTATTGTGTAAGTAGCCTTTCATGATGATCTCGAGACAATATACTGATTGAATACTCGTACTGTATTAGTATTGTGGTTCAAGCTAGCGATTCTGTTGAAACAGGGTGCACTGCGAGCTCTATCCTAACAACAGAGAGGCAGAATCACAAAACGGACTTCTTATGGAACTCAGAGAAATCATTGTGCATGCTGGTGCAGGTCAAATCGCTCCGATTTTGATTTGTTTGAACTACTCATATTTCCGCCTAGATGTCATCACATCTGAGAAGTCTTTGTCACCTTTCGGAGGGGAAGAGCTGTCAAAAATACTGGAATTGATTAACCACCTCCAAGGTGCGCAGATGCACACAAATACGGCTAAGCTCCGAGTCACTCAGATTACACGCCTACCAGAAACCACTTCAGAAGCATGTAGCCCCCACTCCATATGTGTCATTGGTATGTCTTTGACACTTGAGAATTGCGTATTTTTCTCGCCTCACATATTCTGCTTTGATCTTAGCACGTTTTATGCAATACTTCGGTATGGTTAATTGCTGCATCAATATTTTTGCATACTTATCATTCAGGAATAGCCCGAGCCAAATTTTTCAACTTCTGCGGTCAATCTTGTGCACGTTTAGAAGCTGACCAGTCAATATATCTCACGGATGATGAGCACATATTGAAGTCTGTATTGTCCTGGATCATGGAGCTTCTGTGTTTCGGCGCTCCCCATGCCCAGATGACAGAACTGCAAAGAGTCTGGGTGGACAAAAGTACCAGTTCACCCCGATGGAAAGATTTCAACGACAAGCTCAGCAGGGAATGGATTTCTATCACAATATATGTGCGATGCCATTTACCTTACTTGCTATATCTGCTGTTCTAAACTGACCCGTTCACAGTCAACGGTAATGCTTACTGTGGACCTCAGTTTTCTCTCGGTGCCCAGCGTGAACGCCCAAACATCGCACTCTGTTGCCATCATCACAGCTTATCTGTCAACGTTCTGTGTAGTTGGATCCTTAGTTGTGTCCATTTCACTCGCCGGACAAAACCGCAAATATGGCAATGTCTCTGCCAATAACGCTGTATGAGTTGCTTCTAACATTGACTGTACTTGTACTGACAACCCTTGTGCAGGTCGTATTTCTCACCAGAATGACAAATTCAATATTTGGTGACAAAGCGCTCGCTATTTTACACAGTCTGCCGTACGCACTGCTTATGTGGGGGTAAGTCTTCGTTCCACTATGCCTTCCGATACTCAGAGTAACCTCGAACCAGGATGGTTTACTTCGTGATCGGATTTTCCTTCCTGGCGTTTCAACCCACCTCCGTCACACTTCTAGTAATAGTTGGATGTGGTTTGTTGGTCGTCATTCTGCTCACCTTGTGGCCGATTTGGGCTGCGAGAGATTACCGTGTCTTCAGTTGGCTTCGTGAACGACTAACTTCATCCGAATAGCTAGGCTCAGCATACTTGATGACTTGTAGATTACATACGTACATTTACTGTATAATTGAGCAAGACTTCAAGGTATATTTAGAGGTCTTCCGCGGCACCTTAGTACAGGGACTCGGCACTTATTAGACAGTGCCTCGAGAACTCTCTCATGAGCCTCTTGCTTCAGGTTCTATAATTACGAGGTGGGCGATCCAGCCGCACACGACTATCTACTGTCCTCGTCCTGGCGATTCATATTTCCTCCATTCTTAAGTTATCCACTGAAGATTCTCAGTCGCTTTTGAAGTCGAGCAATCCAATCCAGGTACGGTATTTTCGAATGTGTATGAGCATACACTAGCGCAGATATGATATGTTCTGTGCCCTTCCAAGCGCCGTCGTTGAGGCCCCATGTAAGACTTCGAGCCACGACTAACTGTATTTATTATAATCAAACCAGAACCGAAGCTGGCACTGTGGTACATAGTTGTATTTTACTCCACACCACCACTGAACCTCATCCCACCAAAAGTAGAATCTAATACAAACGCGCTAACGGTCATCAAGACCGAAAACGCAGTTGAGAATGAAAACTAAAGAAAAGAAAGAGCGATCGGCTGAAGACTAATAGCAGAGTACTTAAACATTGGAAGGGGCTGTAATGAGGGGAGGGAGGCGAATGAACGAGAAAGTTGTTTGTTGGGTCCAGAAGAGCGAGAGGGCGCCGTAGTATGCACCGAAGGAAGCGATGATGCCAAGGGCACCACCTGCAGTTGCAAAGTGTGGGTTTCCTACGTATCGGACGTCAGATAAAACATAATGCTAGAAGGGTTAAAACGCACCGGTGAAAGCATTTATGGAAAGACAAGTCAGCGCGCAAATGGTGAATCCGAGCGTTACAACGATGGGGGCGGTTGTGCGGATTGCGCCAAGGCTGTAAGATTATTAAGGATGTGTCTGCAAAGCATACTTCCTCGGACTCACAAGAAGAGGAACGTAATCAAGTCCCAGATGGCGAGGTAGATCCCGATGGCGTTGTAGAACTCCTGCCCAACAACCCCGTCAACGGTGTATGCAGCCCTGAAAGCTATGTGAGGGAAAACATGCATCAATGCTTGCAAACGACATACGCAAGGCCGATTTGAGGCAGGTAGAGAGCACCAAAAGATAAATTGAAACCTCCGTAGGTAGTAAAAACTGTTGCACTGAACGTGTTACTGTGGAAAAATCTCAGTGGTAGCTCTCCATACAAAGGTCAGAACCATACCCAAGGAACATCTCCCACATGCCCACAAGCGTTTGTGAGATGCCGCCGTAGCTGGATATGACTTGGTTAGAATCAGATCATCATTTGCGAGTAACAAAAACTGACAAGGTTGCGAAAACCAAGACCAAGTTAGGTTGACCAACGCTCTTGGAGGCGAGCGTCAATATTGACGAGCACAGGAAGACGGTACCGTAGGCCATCATGCCCAAGGGTGCCTGAAAGCCAATTACATGCTGTTGACAAAGTAGCAGTAAAACATGGAAGACATACAGGGTTACCATACGTCCTCTGGAATGGCTGCATTTGTGGTGCAGGGGGTGCTGGGGCGTCCATGTTGACGGTTTGGACGTAGTAGTTGTCCCTTGGGTTCTCTTTTTCAATATTAGACATGACTAGATGATCGGTGTCGACTTGTGGTGCTATGATCCTTCAGAGAGCGGGAATAAGGTCAGTTGTGCACATCTACTATCCTTTATACTACTAGTAGGGCTGACATATCTCCGCTCACGTATGGAACGCGGTGTCAATTGTACGCATGCACTCTGTTGCAGTGAATAGCGTGATTAAGGTCTAATCTGAGTGAGGGAGTAAACTCTGTTACTATAGAATTCGAAGACGGGTGACCCTAGCTTCCAGGAACTGATTCAAAAGATGTACATACTGTTCACTTCTCACTCGCTATCAACTACTCCCGATTATCTCGGACAGGGCTCCGACCAAGTCTAAACTGGAAAACACAATCGCGGAATATGATTTTGGTTGTTGCAGCTTGTGCAGGCTATGCCAAGAGTATCTGTCCAGGTCGGATCGTGTTAGTCATTTTGATGAAAGGAACGGCTTCTCAGGCTATCGGTTTACCTTGTAAGGGTGAGTCGCGACTCGGTGATCTATATGAAATGAACAGCCTGCAGTATCAGGACTCTATCATGATTGCGTCACTGCGGGTACTGCGTTTCTGTGTTTGTTAAGATCAGTGTCTTGATGGTGTTGGCAATGGTAAAGAAATCGCCGGTATTTGCCGCATCGAGTCGGACTTGCCCAAGTTCAACTGGGTCCGGAGCATCCCCCACGACCTCCAATTTGCATCATCCGAGTCCCAGGCGATAACGAGTTGCCTTGATCCTGACTTTTTGAGGTCACGGTTGCATCTGGAATTGCACATAGTCCGCAACCATAACTATCATTCATAATGGAGATTTTGAGGCTGTCGTCTACCCTTGATCTTTCGAGTCATGAAGTATGCTGTTTTCTCGTCCATTCGGTGGAAGCCTAGAAGAAGTTCGTTCCTCCAAACTTGACTAAGCTGCTGGTGAGTATTTTAAGTTTGATGTCTTATCTTGGTTTTCTGGGGGTGATTCACACACCCACAGTGAACACTGAACATACAAGTTTTCCGCTTAGCAGGTAGCAAGAGGTATCAGAAGACCAAAGGTATGGAATTTTGCTCGACATTACATGACTACGCAAACTTACCAGTCCACACCACTCATGTCGCACATTTGCGTATCTGAGTCTTATCGCCACATGGCTGGCCAGTGCGTTGGACCATCCAATATACCATACACTGAATTTGATCAGCTCTTCATACATTCACCTGACCTTCAAGTCCGTCGCACGTGGTTGATGGTTACTTCCTTATCAGATTAAAATTTGGATGGCAAGAGTGGACAATTGAAGTACCAGATCGCGGCTGGTTAAATTTGCAACGGCGGCAGTATGCGGACAATGGATACAAGTCGGGTACGTGCGAAGTTCCCGAACCTATGCTAATTGGGATGCAGAATACATGTGCTTGTGAACACAAACATAGTTCTCCTTTGTCCGCCATTCACTACTCAATGGACTGCAAGTATGAATAGAGCATCACTCGGCGGACGAATGTCAGGGTGGTGCGCGTTCCAGCAACAGTGACCAAGCCTGTGGCAAGCAAATGGTCTCGGGAAGATTTCGTGTTCCGAGTCGGCCATTGCATGCGCACAGCTGGAATTACTCGTGTGCGCACACTCATACTTGGTCCGCCCAGATACTGCAATCAACACGGGAAGCAATATGTTTTTTTTGTTCTCAAGGCAATATCAGATGTCAGTTTCGGTTCAGGAATATTGGCGCATCTTAGACTTGCATTCTTTGCAAACGAAGGAACCGCCTTTTGTGCGTGTATCTTGACACACGATACTGGAGACTGCTAGACGCTGGTAACGTGCTTGATGATTGGAGCGAGAGATAACGCAAGCTGTGAAATGACAGACATGTTTAAGGTCGAAAGGTTTTTCATATTATGTCCTTCCGGTGTGAATTATGTAGGTTTTCATGAAGCTGAGTACTTAGTATGATTCAAATATCATTGAGAGATCAGAAAATATGAGTAGTAACAATATATACTCGTCACGATATTCAATATTCAATATTCATCGATGCATCCCCCAGCGAGCAGTGTGTATACAACTACCGAAATTCTCTCTCCAAATGATTCCACCATCGACGTCAATTTACGTACATCGGACAGAAATTTAAGCCTAAGTAGCAAGAATATCACACGTTGAATTCAACTTCCGCGGTTCCGAGTCTACAACTTGGTACGTTGGAGTTCCCCAGAACTCCAATTACCCCAAGCGATTTCTTCAACAATGGCCTCAGTTCTTCGGTTATACAAGTCGGTGGCTTCAAATCATCCATTCTTAGTTTTGTTTGCTCAAGTATCTCAGCGCCGCTCTCATCCGAAGACCCGTGTTGGCACAGTCCGCCACTGCTGCCGTTTTATTTGGCGCAGGTGATGTGATCGCCCAGCAAGTCATCGAGCGCCAGGGCAAGAATCATGATGTGAGTATTGGTGTTACTACAGAAGGAACTGGTTTTGATCATATCTGCGCAGTTCATGCGCACTGCACGCCTCACTTTTTATGGAGGTAAGATGAACCGAGTGCGGGCGGGTCTTAGCCTAATCCACGCCTAATTTTATCAGGAGCGTTCTTTGGGCCAGCCTTGACAAAATGGTATCAACTTCTGAACCGCATCAAGTTCGCCAGTCCTACGAAGGCTGTGATATATCGTGTATGGGATGTGCTGTTTCCTCGGATTTCATGAGGAATGATCGCCTTTTTGCAGGTTTGGCTGGACCAGGCGGTCCTGACTCCTGGTTCGTTGACTACACGTGGATCTACTCGTCTTTCTCACTCTTCTTAGTGGTTGTCGGATTCTTTTTCGGCACAATGAGTATCATGGAGGGAAAAGGTATCTCTGGTGCAAAGGAACGCATTAGTACTGTAAGTCAATCCCCCCTGGAATCTGGTAACCATCTCACATGTCTCCCAGGCGTATGCTCCAACTTTAATTCGTAACTGGTAATATTTGCGTTGTTGCCTACGCATCATGCACTCAAATAGATTTAGGGGCGTCTTCATTCCCACCCAAATCATCAACTTCGCTATCGTACCGCATCACCTCCGCTTTGTTGTCGTGAGCGTTGTCAGCTTGTTTTGGAGTAAGTTTGAGTTTATCGAAAGCCCTTTCATCTTGATCATTGCCTTTTAGACACGTACCTCAGCGCTGTCAATGCCAGTTCACAGCACCAGGAAGCAATCGAATCAGGCAAAAGCACCGAGAAATAGCACGATCGTAACCAGCATGTTTATATCAACTAGACCATCGGCACTGCCATCCCACATAGAGATCTTTTGTTCTTTTTGCTGAAGCGTTCAGAATGCCTACTGAAATCCAAAGTGGATAAGCATCGTAGTGAATGACTCGAGTATTGACACTGCGCACGCGCACACGCATTATCATCCTCTCTCTTGTTCTTAGGATGGATCAAGCGGAAGTATGTGCGATATAGCTTCCGCGACGCGCTTTGTTCGAAATCAGACATTTCAGGCACAGCGAGCTGTCCTGACTAACAAGGTCCGCGCCTATCCGCGCGTCATCTACCACCAATCAGTGTTCCTAGAATGTTATCCGGTTTCTAAACTACTTCCGCTCTATAGTGGGGCCAGATCACTTGGAATCTGCAGTCGAGATTTTTCTGCACAGTACTGCGATTCAATTTAGCAGCCTGATCAAAGTGCCAACCCACAGTAGGATCATAACCTGCGCCTCTGCTCTAAGGAAGCAACTATTCCCAAAGGTGTACATGTGCGCAGGTGTGCGCCCAGGCCCCGACGTGACTGGGAAATTTTTTCACATTGAAGCGCCGCTACGTAGGCGTTCCTTTTCCTTTTCAAAAGTTGCGGTGCGCAAGTGAAGAGCCAATATATATATGGTAAGGACTTGCTGGTGAGTACTCCCGGTGGTTATTCCTCGGTGCTACTTTCTGACATGACTTCGAGCATTAGTCAAGAATTAGTCAAGAGTCCAGATGAACGGAGACCCGGCGCACCGTCGACCTCGGCAGCGGACCATGACGGAACACATCCGAGTCAACATGGAAGCAGTACAATCCATCGTCAAAGAGCTGGTGGTCGCATTTTCCTCCTTCAGGCTGCATAGTGGTACCGATCATCGTTGCACATATTCGCCACAGGTTTCACAGAACCATGATACCCTTGGACGATCTCTTCTGGACCAGAGGCAAATCGAGCACACTGACGAATACATATTTTCCGACTTGGTTGGTAAGATCTTCGACGCGACGAGTCGGAGTGGACGTAATCCAAGTTTTCACTCGAATCTAACTCAGGTTCAAGGTGAAATGGGCAGCAATAATATGATTGTTCCATGGCGCGAGCCGCATGCGGAGTGGGAAAATACTGAATGTGATGTCGATGCACTTGTTCGTACGTCCAAATCACATTCGGCAGGCTTCGTGTGACGGTGGATGAATGAATTTCAATGGCTTGAGTTTTGCGTTTGCTTTTGTGCTCTCGCTGTAACCAGGTCTGTTGTGTTTTAGCCGTAATAATGCATACCAGCTAGGCTCGCAATCAACCTGTCTGTGGTAGTATACGCCAGCCTAGCCACGAACCTGTGTGTCATCTGTAATCTTATTTGAGTACATTTTAATATGATGTAAATTGAATGTACAGACGATGTTCTATTGATACATAGGAGGTTCTGCTCGTGATGACTCTGTCAACGGAATGGCTAACTTGTAACCCCTTACTTACCATCCAGATGAACATTTCAACGCCCACCGCTCAGAACTCGAGTGACCATGCAATTGTAGGGCTTCAAGATCGTCTAGCACGAAGACGTTAGTCAGAACTCCTCATTTGTATATTGGCCCTTGGTACTGAAACGGATGTAAGCACCGTGACAGATGCTGGAGTAGGGGACCCCAGGCGAAGGGCGGAGTAGCAGCCGGGTAGTGTAGTGCTCTTCACCACTTCTTGCCTTGCTCGCAATACGCAGGCACACAGTCGCGGATACTCCGCTCCAATGCATCCGAAAGTACCCGT